TCTGTTCCATACTAGTGCTAAAGCTGCAGGCACCATCCACCTCAGGGAGGGAAGCAGGCAGGGATTCCTGGGGGTCCCACTAAAGGGCCTCTGCACTGTCATCCAGCTCTCAGACTCCAGGATTCTGCAGATACGACGACCAGGAGGGGGGAAGCAGCAGCCAGCCAGGGGGCTGACCGCACCAAAGCCAATAAGCCTTCTCCAAGAGGGCAAGATTAGAAATTAATGGAAATGCTTCCTGTCTGACACGTGAGTCCCACAGATGGTCCCATTAGGTCCTCAGAAGATGCTACGGCTACTGCTCCAGGTGTTACTCCCATTCTACAAATGAGGAAACTGAGCCTTAGTTTCACATAATCTGTTTATGGAGACAGCCAAAATCAGAAGTGGGGTTCAGTCCCAGGTCACCATACTTTCCCTTATTCTCCTCTGCCCCCCCAAGATGTTATCATTGCTGAAGAAGGGGAGGGGGGAACGCAAGAGAAGACAGCACAAGGACTGCCTCATCCGGCTTTCTTTTCTCAAAAAAACCTTTATGAGAATGCTCTGTGCCTATGGGACAGACATCATAAAAAAGCTGAGAAGGGCGCAGGCACGCAGTAACAGAGGGGACAGAGAGGACAGAGAAAGGCCTACTGTCTGTCTGATGTTTACAAAAAAGCATCTGACTTGGTGGAACCCAAGACAACCTAAAAGGGGCTCCCTGACAAAGGAGGCCCCCTGAAGTGCAACACGTGGCCTTCTGTGGCCAAAGCGAGCCCAGAGCCGGCTTTCGTCCACACCAACCAACCCAGATGTGAAGCAGGAATGCCACAGTCACGGGGGCCCAACAGCGTCCTGGCTCTGCAAGGCCGTCCTTCCCCACTGAGGGGAGGGTGCTCACCAATGACCTCATGCTAACGGTATCTAGCTCAGGCCTGGGCCTCCTCGGACCCCTGAGAACTGAGTCTCACTATCTGTAAGAAATGCCCCGCAGCAGCTGGGTGGACGGTCCATCTGCAGCCCCTGCCCTAGTCCTTGGCTGGAGGACTCTGAGACAGGCTCAGAAGTGTACAGAAGGAGATCTGGGCGGGGCAGTGCTCCACGGGGACCTCAAACGGGTCACTACTCCCCAAACATGTCCAGGAATAGAGGCTGCTCTCCAATGGCAAACTACCACATGCCCCAGACTCCAAGGTCAACAATGCCCCCTGGCGTGCCAGGGCATATGCCCTTCACATGAAGTGAAGATATGTAGATATGATGGGGAAAGAGGGGCGGGCCCTCACTAGGCTAGTACTAGCTGGGCAGCCCATGGGCCGTGCAGCCCTGATGGGTGAGCAGACTCTGTGGAGTCTAGAATGAGAAGGCGTGGAGAGCCAGGGCCCAAGACAGCGGCTCAGCCACCTCTGGCCAGGGGCCTGAACCGAAGGTCTGGGCACTCAGGTGTCATCCCCATGGGTTTCCTTTGGCATCCTGGGTATTTCGTGTTTTAAAAACTCGATGGACTTCAGCAGACGGACTGGCCAAAGGGTTCACAGCACAGGAAGGTTCAGTTCCCCAGAACCATGCCTGAAAGGCAGAGAAGGGCCCTGCCCTAGGGCCTCAGGGCATCTCCTACAGTTATCAAAAAGGCCTAAAGCAAACCTGAGACCGGTAGTTACTACTTTCCACAAATACAATGGACTAAAGCACATGCAGCCAAAACAAACGCCTTGACCCTAGCTCCTCAAAGAGAAACAACTGGACCCTTTTCACTTGGTGACACAAAAGGGCTAGTGAGGCAAGAAACCAGAGGCAACAGCAGCTCCTCAAATAAACAGTTAGATGGCAGGTAAATACTCCCAGCCCGGCTCGGAGTTAGGAGGACTGCTAACAGCGCCAGCCCACCCTGGACAAGGCAAAGTACCCTTGGGCAGGTCTCAAGGATTCCTCGCAGTGCTGGGGGGGGGCCAGGATGGGGCCCCAGGGGCTCACATGGGGGCTGGGGGAGGGCGAGCTGTTGGAGGGGGCCGAGATCACACCCAAGTCTTTGGGACCTTGGGCCCAAGGGCACTCTGCTAGGCAGAATCCAATCGGTGATTTTAGTTTGTGAATTAAGGTATCTGCTGGTGAGTATTTACTGAATGGATGAGAACATTTCAGTTACCAAATACCATCCCCCACAAAACTGAAAGACAAAAGTCTGCATTATTCTTCAAACTTTAAATACTACACTGGGTCAGGCCACAGTTAACTTCACTGGCAGGTTCAAATGTCAAGTTTCTCTATTTTTATGTGTTTTACAAGTTAAAATTCCACAGCCACAGAGTTAACCCAGCCTCGTGTTGTGAAATCAAACCTAGAATTGGGTGTTGATAGGTGCCAATCATGACAGCGGTGTATAAAAGGCTGTAGGAGTACAATAAGTGAACCTTCTGAAGACCGCGACAGCCACCCTTACTATTTAACAAAAGCAGACATTAAACATAACATCTAACAGTTATTGCACTAACACTCAAAACTCCTGACACGGAATCAGAGCTGGGAGAAAGCTTCGAGAATCCCCGTGATTTGACAGCTAAGGAACGAGTCAGACAGGGTGAAGTCATGGCCAAGGTCCCTCACTCTGAGGCAAAGCCAAGGCCAAGACCCCAACCTGGTGACCACCACCTTTGGCCTGCCTGCCATTGCTCTGGCACTAGCACACACAAGCCTTGGCACGTCGAGGGGAGGCACTGGTCGCCAACTGACAGCCCATCACCGCCTGTTGTCCAAAGGACCCGTCCCTCGAGGAGCTCCAAGGGCTGCAATGCTCCAAGACTGTCTCCTACGGCCCAGAGGGGCTGCTACCTATGTTATGGGGGGACACGGGGGACAGTACCCAGAGAAAACCACAGAAACCACATCTGAAAGCCAAATACCCTTGTTTTAAGGAAGTGCAGAAAACTTGTCAAGCGTGCACTCAGAGTACTACTGGGAATAGTGGGAAGAAGGTCTCCTGCCAAGCAGGGGCTCCAGGGACAACTGATCTGACCAGAGAGCCTAGACACACAAACCCCAATCTGTCTCATTCGGTGCCAGGACACCCAGACAAGCCTCAGATCCTCCCTAGCTAGGGGACTCCCTGGCAAACACCGAGCCAGGGCCGCTTCACTCTAGCAGCGACTCCAGCCTAGGTTGGTCCAGGGCCCTAATCCCAGCCACTGCCGTCTCCCCAGGAGTGGCTTTTTTTGTGGCTGGCTCAGGTTTTAGGTTCCAAGAACAGCCCACATGAATGTAGTCTTGGAACATTCACAAAACCCTTTCCTTACAACAACCCCAATTATTAACCCATTTTACAGATGGACAAACAAGGCTCTGACAGGGGTAGTGACTTGTATGTGGTCACACGGTTAGTAAAAGTCTAAGGAAAGGAGAGAGGGGATGTCCCCACCTGACATGCACCTCCTGAGGCCATGTGGGTCTTCTGTCCCCAAACCAGAAATGTCACCCCAACCGCCACAATGCCCAGAGAGCAGCCCTCCATGGTGGGGCTCCCTCAGGCCCAGCCCCCAGATGCAGAGAGCCTTTGGGGAGCCAGGGGGGGCCACCTCTCTGCCTGGCTGCTCAGCTTCAGATCAACTACACACCCCTCACTGTGGCCCTTCAAGCCCCACACATCTACTTTTCCACCTACAGGGGATGCCCTATCCCCCTCATTCTACCACAGCCCAGGGAGGGATGGCCAAACCGGCCTGTGTGCAGTTTCTCCAAGGCCACGTGTTACCTCCTACCTCTATGCCTTCCCTCCTGTCACCCCAACAGTCCTCCCTGCTATTTACAGGGCATTAGACCGTGAATGTTTCGAAGGCAGGAGCAGTGTTTCTGACTGGCAACGTGCACAGTGCCTAGCACGCATAACCCCTTCATCCAAGCTTGTTGACTTGGTTGGTCCTGTATTCGAGAGGCTCTTTGAGGTCCAAGAGCCTGACCCCTTACAGGGCCCCTGTGAGAAGGGAAGCAGGGACCCAAGAACACAGGAGGAGACCATCTCCCACGCAACGAGGCCCCCGTCGCTCTAAGAGGAGGAGGAGGTGGGTAGCAGAAGAGGGCAGTCCATGCCCTCCACCTGTGTCGGGCACTCCACAGTCTGCAACACTCTTCTCCACAGACTCTCTAACGTGACTCACCCTCTCCTCCCCAAAGTCAGCAGAAGCAGGCTGCCCAGTAAGTCATTCACATCTCGCACAATGGGGCCACTGCCTTATGGGATCCTGAGCATCCCAAGGCCCAAGAGCAGGGCTAACCTGTGCTTGCCCCACCTAGGGCGGCTCCACAGGCATCATCTCACTGAATCCCAACAACCTGGGAGAGTTAGGTGATGCAAGCATTAATCTCCCCACTTGAAAGGAGGACACCTAGGCTCAGAGAGGACCTGCCCTCCGCAGACCGGCCCTCACAGTCCAAATGCTCTAACTGCCTCCTCTTGAGGAGTTAAACCTCAAGCAGAGATGAGACCCACTGCAGAGCCTGAATGCCAGAGAAGCTTCATTTCCCCAAGAGCAGCTCGGACAAGCTGCCCACATCCTCCATCCAATCAAACCACCTGCACTGATTGAGCACCGACTGCGTACCGGGGCCAAAGCAGTGCCTGCCCTCAAGCCATCCCCAGTGCAGCCTGGGGAGAGACAGACAGACAGACATCCACGCAGGGCCCGGATGAGGCACCAGGAAGGGGGGATGGGGACAGGGTGCCTCTGAGCCCCCCGTGTGAGCCCCACACGTGCCCCAGGCCCCGGGCAGCCCTAGAGGAGCCGGGGTGGTCACTGGACGTGGGACACCCGGCCTCGGCAGGGGGCTCTGGAGACTGGTGCACCCCGCCCCCTGGGGGGAGGGGGCACACCCACGTGGGAGCACGGCACCCCTCCCCCAGCCCCGAAGTTTCAAGCGTCCCCCCTTCCCCCCCAACCCGGCCAGCTGGGGGGCGCCGTAGGGGAGGAGGGAGCCTCCCGGCCCCGCCCCTCCAGCCCCGCCCCCTCTTCCCCTTCCCCCAGCCTCACCCTCAGACAGCTCCAGCTCCAGCTCGGCCAGGCCCTCGCGCACGTCGGGCGGCAGCGCCCCGGCCTCCAGCCCCCCGCCGCCGCCCCCTCCGCCGCCGCCGCGCTGCCGCTCCGCCATGGCCCGCGCTCCGGCCTCCACCCCCGCGATGCCCCGGACTCGGACTCGGACCCGGAGCTGGAGCCGGAGCCCGGCTCGGCCTCGGACGCGGCCTGAGAGTCGCGAGCCCGCGGAGGCGGAGCCGCCCTCGGAGCGCGCGCGCGCGCGCGCGCCCCCGCCCGGGATTGAGGGAAGGAGGAGGAAGCCCCGGCGCCGCCTAACAACGCCGACGAGCTCGAAGCCCATTGGTCGCCCGCAGCCCCGGCCCCGCCCTCGGCGCCCTGCGGCTGCGGCCGCTCCCGACGGGCTCTGCGCGCTCGGGGCGGGACGGTCTGAGTGGGGGCTGCTGGGACTTGTAGTCCGAGCCCTTCCGGGCCGGCCTGAGTGCGGAGGGGCAGTGGGAGGGAGACGCGGAGGAAGGGACTGGGGGCCCCCTCGCCCACCCCTGGCTGGCCTCTCCGCGGGCCCGCCCTCAGGTCGGCCCCGCCACGCGCGCCCTGAACCCGAGGATGCCCCACGTGTGCCCGGCCCGTAGTGAGCCACGCCCCCTCAGGGTGCCCAGGCTACGGACGGGGAAACTGAGGCCCGAGCAGGCAGAGGGACTGGACACGGGTCCAAGGGCCAGAGGCAGGAGCCTCGCTTGCCATTAGATAGTTGGGGAAACTGAGGCCCGGCCCCCCCCTTCTTTGTGGGGCCCGTGCACAGGTTGAGCGCCTCCTGTGTTCCAGCTGCCATTCTCAGCAGACCGTGCCCACGGGAGGGGGCCGTTGCAGAAAAAGACCTGCCCCCGTGTTGATAGGAAGACGGCCCTCCAGGCGGGGGGCACGGCCAGCCCTGGTGCGGAGTCAGGGAGCACACCCAGTGGGGAACGGGGAACTGCACCCCAACATAAGCTGCAGGAAGTCAGGGCGCCAGAGCCCTTCTGAGCCCCACCCAAGGCCACTGTGACCTCAGCACTGGGCTGGCATTCATTCCCCCACTCGGTGCCTCCGTTTCTTCATCTGTATAATGGTGCTCTACCTTCCGTTCGGCCTCTAACAAATCAGAATCCCAGCCAGCATCGCCTCTGACTACTGGGGTGCCATGGGATGGCTCCATGCCTGCGCTCAGAGCCCCCTGGTTCATGCCCCCATTCCCGTGGGTGGGGGTCTCTGCCCAGCTTGGATGGCCCCTGCAAACCCAGAGCAGAGGAGGAAATGGGGGGTGAGGCGGGCAAGTACCCCCCCATTCCATGGGCTTGAGTAAGCCATAGCCTCCTGGGCGCCCCTCCTTGTTTCAGGAGTCCTGCCCCTCACTGAAGGTGCAGGGAGGGAGGGACAGCGGAGAAAGGGAGGGGAGGCAGGCGGAGGAAGGAAGGAAGGCACCACCTCGCGGAGCTCTAGCTTCCCACACCCCCTGGGATAGACAGAGAGTCCCAACCGGTGTCCAAGGTCGCTGTCCTTGAGCTCAAGTGCTAGCTGGGCACCCACCAGCTGCTCCGGGCTCCCCTCTCTCTGTCTCTCCCAGGCCAGCTGCCTCCAGAGCCTGGTGACCCTCTTCCCTGCCCCCCAGGATGATGGGGGTCAGTCCACATCTCCCCACTGCCCGGAGTCCTTGCCAACCCCACGATTCCTGGGCTTTCTGACCCCCCAGGAGGCCTAGGCCACATGAGAGAAGACCCAAGGTGTCTCAGACATTGGTTCCTCTTCTTAGTGGAGTAAACCCCGGGCTAGGCTCAGGCTCAAGCTCCAAGCTTTTTCAGGACCTTGTTGAACTATGAGACTAGACCTAGAGCCAGAAGCTCCGGGTTAAAAGCCTAACTGCCCCTGGGCCAGCTGTCCAGCTTGGAGTGGGCCTCAGTTTGCTGCTTACTAAAATGGAGATCATATTTGTACTGCCTCCTTCCCAGGGCTGTTAGGAGTCATTATGTAATGCACTTTGTGCCAATAGTGGGATGTCATCATAATCGTAAGGTGCATGGTGACCAGGAGCCCGTACTCCAGTCTTGTTCCTGGCTTTTGGTGGGCACTAGGACAGTGCCCTGGGGGAGGAAGGAGCAGGGTGGGTAGTCCATGGGTTGGAGGAAGCTCCAGGCTACCAGGCTTGTGAGGTGCTTGGCACCTGAATGAGAGACTTTGGCAGTGTGAACACTGAAAAGGATGAAGAAAATCAGAATCATTTTCATTTATGTGGCATTTGAAGGTTCCACTTGATCCTCACACTGCCCCTGTGAAGATTTTATTATCCCTACGTTTCAGAGGAGGAGATGGAGGGAGGCTGAGATAGGTGAGGTGATTTGCCCAGAGTCACACAGCTACTAAGAGTCTGAGACAGGACTTGAACCTAGGGTCTTCCTGTCCCCAAATCCAGCAATTTATACACAATGCTACGTAGAAGCCTCTAGAAGGTAAAGGGGATGGAAGAAGCACTGGGAGAGAGAGTAGCAATAGGAAAATATTCCCAGAGTCCTGGAGTGTCCCTGAGAAGCTATGAGCAAAGGAAGCCCAAATCGATAGAGGCTGACAGTGAGAAATTCTGACCCAGAAAGGTACCTGAGGGGCAATGTGAATCAGGCATGGGACTGCTATTTATTGCTTGCCTACACACAGAAGAAATGCTTACTACAAATCATTCATGAGCACTCAGTGACTTAAAACAGGACTGAGTAACTTAATTTAAAACTCCAGTTGTGTTCTCCAGGGAGGGGCAGAACTAAACCTCATCAGAAAATAAAGCAGTTTGCAAGACTGCTGAAGAGGCATCGTTATCCTTCTGCCTCAGCTCTGCATGGCCTCCTCCATGTCTTCTGGCTCACCTGGCCAGGACTTGGACTCTTCCTTGTGTTGCTGGTCCCCAGGCTACCTACCAGTCAGTTCCAACCAAGGGACCCAGGCTCTACAGACCTCCCACAAGAACGCCAGCTGGGACACGTCCATCTTGAGGACACTGCTTGGGTCTTTACTTCAGGAAGAAAACCATGCAGACAAGGCAGCCCTGGGCGCCAGGGGCTTCTCTCGGCCTCATCAGTTGATCAATGCCGGAGCTCTCTCAATCCCCCAACCTGCTTGTTAGGTCAAACATGGCAAAGTCCCCCCCCCAGAGGAGGTTTCAGCTGCAGGGCAGCAGGAAAGCCCCCAACTCAAGCCCAGTCCTGGGGTGCAGGATCCAAGCGGATGGCCAGGCTTCCTCTTGAAGGCCATCTCCATTTTTGACATTGGGCCAAGGGCCTGAGCATCAGTGAGAACTTCCTTTTGCTGTGAGGTGAGGAGGCAAGGTCAGCTGCTGGGGTGAACCTCCCTAGGGGATGCTTTCCTGGTCTATGAAGCAGGACCTGTGGTCCGGGGATGCAGCTATTCCTAGGACCCTCAGGAGCAGGTGGTTGGTGCTGGTGCCAGGGAAGGAGGCCCCTTCCCCACAAGGGCTGCTCCTGGTTTTCTCAAGGAGGAAACAGCCCCAGAGAGGCCAGTTAAGGACTTTGCCTAGAGTCCTGTGTTTGTAAATAGACTTGCTTTTACCCCTGCGGAGGCTGCGGGCCCTCTGAGGGCACAGCTGGTACCTTACTTACAGGATAAGGAAACGAAAGGGCTGCTCCCAGCGTCATCTAAAATGTCCCGTGTCTCATGGCCCGTGACCTTGGTTTTCTGAATTATCCAAAGAGCAAAACAATCTTTACTCTCCCTTTTCACCGTGTTGAGTTTTTGGTTATGCTTTTAGCAGAAGCAGTGGGCCACTAACGGAGACCTTGCATCGCAGCTTCCTGGCTGTGGGCTGCGGGTCAGTGCCTTGGCCAGCAGCTCACCCCCAACACGTCACATGTAAGATGGCTTCCATTCTGTCTGCACACATCCTCTGTGCTCAGAAAAATATTGCTGGGAACAGATGCCACCTCCTCCTCCTCCTCCCCTTTCCTTGCCAGTCAGTCCTAGAACGAGCATTTATTAAGGACCTGATGTGTGCCCTGTGCTGTGTGAGCCATGTCTCTTCCCAAGTCCTCCACTGAGAATCTACCCAAGCAATCATTAAACATGCATTAAGTGCCTGCTGTGTGCCTGGCATACAAAGAAAGAAGCCAAAAGGCCCCTGGCCTGATCCGCCAGGGGCTATCCCTCCCACCCCTGCACTGACCTGTGGTCCATCTGCTATCTGTCATGACTCTGACCTCCGTTCCACGTCCTGCATTTCCTCCACAAAGTTCACCTCTGGGATGATAGGTTTTTGGGCCACAGCAACCCATGAAACAGGTAAAAAATATTGGGGGAAATATTTGAAATTGTGAGCAATTACAGTTACAACTGGACCCCCAAATCAGCAGCACAACAACCCCACACAAACAGGGCCATCAGCAGTCAGAAATGGTACAGACAGTCATGGTGGATGCACCGTCGGCTCACAAGCCTTTGGGAAGAGTTTATTAGGCTCCAGGCACTGAGTTAAGTCCCTGCCCTCAAAAAGCACACATTCTGATGAGGGATGACAGGACACAGAATGAAGCTGAAAATGGGGATGAGTAGAGCAAGGGGCTTGGGGGGTGGGGGGGCTGGAGAGCCAGCCTGGCTGGGGACAGAAGGCTGCTACCCTTCCTCCCACGGCACCTCGTCATCACTCATACTCTGCTCTCTCCCTGCAGCCAGGGCCCGGTCTGGGCCCTCCTTTGCCCTAGCCCAGAGCCTGACTGCCAAGAAGACCAGCTGGGCAAACTTCACACCCCAAATAGATGCCCACCTTTGAGGGTCTGTGTGTATTCTCATGCTTACACACGTGTAAATGTGTGGTGCGTGTGTGAGTCCATGTGAGTGTGTGTTCAGTCATACATGTGCATACCCACATGTGCATTCATCATGTGTGAGTGAATGTGTGCGCACGTGTATGTGCATCATATTCATGGGTATGCATGTGAAAGTGGGTGGTGAGCTCGTGTGTGCATATATGTGTGTGAAGTATGTACGCATGTGTGATTCTGTGGGAATGAGAACGTGCCTGGGTGAATGTGTGTGTACTGGTTTGCTGCAGTTGTGTGTACATGTGCCGGAGTGCATATGTGTATGCACATGTTCACACAGGAAAAGCTATGCATTGTGAATGTGCATGTGAGAGTACGTGTGTGTATTCATGTGTGCTACATGTATATGCATGTGTAAGTGGGTGAGTACGGGCCTGTGTGTGTGTCGATGCATTGTAAAACATGTACGCATGTGCAACTTGTGAGTGAACGTGCGTGTGCACGTGTGAGTGAACTGTGGGCATTTGAGGGTATTCCTGTGAAAGTGCATTGTGTACGTACTGATGTGTTTATGTGTATATGCATGTGAAGTCTCTACACATGTCTGAGTACACGTGCAGGAACACGCATGACTGAACTGTTGCTTGTGAGAACTACGTGCATGTGCCTGCATATGGGTTTAGGGGTATTGTATATTTGTGTAAGCATGCAGTGTGTGTTGTGCATTGCAATAGGTAGGTGTGTGCATGTGCAAGCATGAGTAAGAGAGTACTGGGGGAGTGTGTAAATGCACAGGTGTAAGCATGTACACTGGGGGAGTGTGTGCACACGTACATGTGTAAGCATGTACAAGCATGTGCAGGTGTACTCTGGGAGCTGGGGGCGGGGCCTTTTTCCACAAGGCCCACTTTTAGATGTTCCCTCACCAGCGCAGTGTCCTTCCTTGAAAATGGACAGAAGCCTGGCTGTGGGACCGAGGCCAGATTCGGGTCCCTCGGGGCAGGGGGAAGGCAAAAAGCAGCAGCCCTTTCCCTGGTGTTTCTTTCCAGCACGAGGAGACCCTGAAGGGAGGTGAAGGAGCCGACGGAAACCAGCAGAGGGGATGCTGGTCCACCAGCGCTCTGAAGGGGAAGGTTGAGGGGCAGTGGGGCCTGGAGAAAGGAGGAAAAGGAAGAGGATGGAGTGGGACAGAAGCTGAGTGTGCAGCCCTCGAGAAGCTTCATGGAGAAGGCGGGGACATGCAGGGGGCCCTGGGCTGCAGCACCACAGGCCATCCTGGTCCTGCGGCACCGGCAGTCTAGGGCCAGCCATTTCACGTGACTATTCCCATTAGATTCATTCTCTTTGGGACACGAAGGAGATGAACGAGCTGGTAGAAGATGGAATCCTATCGGGGCCTCCCTCCACAGCCAGTTCTTGGGGCTGCAACTCCTGGAATGTCAAATAGGAGAGAGCTGCGGGCTCACCTTGGTTTAGGGGTGAATCCTGCTTCTTACTCACTCCCAGCCTTTTCCCGTTACATCGTAATCAAGTCCATTTCAGATGAAAATCCAAAGAGAAGGACCTGGAGGGGCACGGGGAGGCTGTCTCTCCCCCTGGCTTCTGGACCCAGCCAGGCCAGCCCTTCCTTTGCCTCTCCAAAAAGGAATCGGGCTAGGCCACCATCCTGCTCCAACTTGACCAAGAACATCAATCACTAGAGGGCAGCTCCTCCAGGACCACACGTGCCCACTTGTTGGCCTTCTGATAAGCCCCCCCCCCCTTTTCTGCTGGTCTGCCATGGTTCCCACAGACGACAGCCTGAGGACTTTTCTTATTTTTGTTTCATGAGTTCCTCTAGCCAAACTTCATTAGCGAGTGGCCCACATACTAATCATGAGTCTACTGGAAGCAGCAGGATGGAACCATAGGTAGAGTATGGGACTTGGAGTCATGGAGACCCGAGTTCCAATCCAGCTTCGACACTCACTAGCTATGTGACCCTGGGCAAGTCACTTCACCTGTCTGCCTCAATTTCTTCAACTGTCAAATGGGAATAACCATAGTCCCCACCTTGCCAAGTTAACGTGAGGGGATAAAATGAGATCACATAGGAGAAGCCGCATATAAATTTTAGCTCTCCATCATCACCATGGTCTGGGGAGCAGCCAGAAGAAGGCAAGCAGGGTGGTTGTCCAAGGATCCCGAGGGCATGCCACATGCGGAGAATGATACTGATAGTTAGCATTTAATCGCTTCATCAGGTTGGCAAAATGCTTTGCAAATGCTGTCACACAGACTCAGAGGAACCCTGGGAAACCATTTAACAGATGAAGAAACTAAGGCAGATGACACAGCTTGTGTCTGAGTCACAATTTGAACTTGGGTCTTCAAGTCCAGCACTGTAAACCACTGTGTCCGTTAGCTAGCGGTCCTAAAGAAACTTGAAGGGAGGGGGATGCTTTGCTTGTGAGTCCGCCACCAGCATTTATGAAGTGTTTACACAGTCCCTGCCCTCATGGACACACCCATAAAAAGGAGCTGCTTCAGGGTAGAGAAGTCAGATCTGCAGCCATGAAGGAGGGTCCTTCGGACGGGTCTTCTCCAGGGCTGGTGAGGAGTGGGGCCCCAAAGGGTAGTGGGAGAGAGCTCCATGGAAGGAGAGTCCCCCAATGCTCTCGGCGTGACGGGCTGACTCCCCTAGAGATCACCAGGCCTCAGAGAAGGGCCTGATGCCACCATTTGGGGAGCTCAGGACTTCTGCCACAAGCAATGGACCCAGCCTGTGATCATCTGTCAGATGCAGAAACAGAGACGTCCACGGTCAGCCCTCTGCCAGTGCTACAATCTTGTGTCTCCCACATCAAGTCCTGTTGTTCTGACTTCCTTCTAGCAAATCTAAAACTGCGTCCCCCTCACGTATTTCCTGCCGACGACACAAGCTCAGCCGGAGCCGTGTCGGTTAGGGATTAGGACAGGGTCAATCTCCCAATGCCCCTCCTGCCCCCTTAGCCTGGGCTGGCACCATAGAGGACACCGGCCACACATGAACCAAAACCCACCACTGGAAAGGCAGAATCGGGCCGACTCTTCCCTGCCTTCTGCACAGAGCTCACTGAATGAACCTTCATTCCTGCTCAGGCCTCAGACCAGACCCAAAGTTCATTACAGCCAGGCCAAAGGTGCAGGGGAAGAAGCCATCCCACTGAGCCCAGAAGGAGAGAGGAGCTGGCCCCAGGGCCAGTGATGAAATCCTCTGCACAGCAGGAGTGCCTGCCCACCTTGCAGAGGAAGGACGGCATCTCCTGACTCCGTCCCCCTGCCCAGAAGTCTCTCTCCTCACATCTACCTCCCAGACTCCCTGGCTTCCTTCAAGACTTGGCTAAAGCCCACCGTCCTCAGGCGGCCTCTTCTGGTCCCCATGAAGCCCCTTTCCCTTGAGATGACCACAGCTTTGATCTCTATATCACTTGTACAGACACAGGTATTTGCATGGTGTCTTGAGCATTAGAATGGGGGCCCCTTGTGTGTTCCTATCCCGTGGCGGGCGCACAGACAGACATTTTTCTTTGAGCCCCCAGCTTTTCTAGGTGCTTAATAAATGCTAATTGGCCCAAAGGAGCTTGCAAGGCTCAACCATCCACAGAGGAAGATGGACCCAGGGGAAGGACGCTCAGGCAGACGGGGGAGGAAGGCAAGTCCCTTTACTGAGCCCGAGCATCCTAGGACAGCAGAGGCGCCTGGTCTGGAGGCCAGTGTTTCACCAGCACAATGCGGCCCAGGGGCTGACCAGAAATACAAATGTTCCTATCCCGTGGCGGGCGCACAGTAACAGCCAGCCAGCCAGCCAGCCACCGAGGAGGAAGGAGGCAGGCTGGCCACAAGGCAAGGGCAAGGGTTCACTCTGGGTGAGCATCATCCAGCCAGGACAGTCAGCGACAGATGGGCTGCAGCCTGGCACTAACCCTCAAAGCAGCGACATCACAGGCCCACTGGCGCACCCGAGAGAAAGAAGACACCTGTGTAAAACAGCGCTTTGCTTTTAATGACTTTTTACAAGGTGTCCAGCTATACACTTTAGAAAAATCCACACCAGGAGGACACATCCTAGTTTACATTTTATTGGTGCAGGCAGGAACATGGGCTGGGCGAGGAGGTCTGAGCTCTCCAGGCTCACACAACAATACAAGGTGTAAAGACACTCATAAGGACTAGAACACTTTTAATTAGCTGATGTTGTGAGAGCAGATAAAGACATGTGAACAGGGTCTTCCCACAATCCTGTGCTGCAGCACCAAGATGCTTTCTTAAAAAAAAAAAAGAGGAGGAGGAGGAGGGGACAAGGGGCACAGAAGGAAAGAGGAAACCTGAGAAATCCCAGCTTCTGCTACCTCTGGGAACAAACTGCACTCAGGGGCTCATCTTTTTGGTCTTCTGATGGCCAGGTTTTTTTGAACTCAGCTCTACACAGAAATAAAATAATGTCATATTAGCAACTGGTCAGCAAAGAATCCCTCAACTGTCTTGGGAAAAACCCTACAACTGTGTGTGCCGCTGCCCCCTCCCAGACACAGCCCCGGCTCCGTGGCCTGCCCAGGTCCCACAGCAACTGCCGGACCCCCAGCCCGGCTTATTGTTTTAACTTGATTGTGCAGCCCCCAACGACGACCCTAAAATAAATTTTGGGGCGAACCAGACTTTCATCCTCAGAAACTGCCATCTGATGCACAGGGTCGGGCCACAGCATTTCCCTGGAGCATCCCCTCCATCAATCAATTACAGATGAGGAAACTGAGAGGGGAAGTGACCTGCTCACAGTCACACAACTAGGAGGTTGGGCCTGCTAATATTAGGTAGTGTCTGTCTGCGTTTCCCTTGTCTCACGGCCAGAAGACTCCCCAACCCAAGAGTTCTGAGGCCCACGTTTAACCCTTTCCAGAGACACTCGCAGCGGGGGGGGCCACTCTTGTCTGGCGATTCTAAGTGAGAAGGCAGAGAAGAAAGGGCCTGCCCACAGGCCTGGTGGACGTGGTGGTTACCAGCCTTCCTGCAACACCCTCTGCCTGTGCCTAACACTGTCAACCTGCAACCTCATCTCAGTATGACTGACACAACATTTCCATCCTTCTGCGAGCCACTGCACTAGACTTTTATCATGTGAACCAAAAGCACCTGGATTGGCCTCTGACTCTTTTCTCCCACAAACCGCACCTCAAGGCCCGGGCTCACATTTTGCAAACACTTAAGAAGCAGCAGGTAGTGGGCCTTACCTGGCTGGACGCCCCCTAGCCTCTGCTGGATGACCTCCAAGTGGTGAATATACTCTGTTAATGAGTGCTCCGGGTCTTGAGAGCTGTCATAAACGTCGGCACTTGAACCCGGGGATGTGAGGGCTCTACAAAGACAAGACAGAGCTGAGTTTTCCCTCTCTCCAGGGAAGGTACTCCTGGCGCAATATCACCTGATTCTCCAAACCTAGATCGCAGGCCACTGATTCTCTCTCTCACGTCACGGACTTCCAAGGCAACCCTCAGGTCCTTAGGGTCCAGAAGCCATCTAAGCCTCGATGGTCAGATGCAAAGACCCATCCCCAGCCAGTACCAGGGTCCCTTGCTGCCTCCCTTGCATCCTTGTGCCCGGCCAGAACCACAACTGAAGGTGGTGCTTCCCCTGCCAAGTCCCCCTTCAAGAGGTTCTGAGCCAGATGAAGGGAACCCCCTGGCTGGAAGCACAAATGCCTGAGCAGGGGGCTCCCTTCGCCCCTCCACGGCTGAGCTATTCATTCAGAGGCTCTGTTTGTCAGAGCTCCATGTCTCTATTCACAAGCCCTTGGCAGGAAACTCTGCCTGATTTTGGGGACCCTTTGTCTACCAACAGCATTTCCTAGTAACAGTGATGAGCCACACCAAACTTGGCCAAAGAGGGTGCAAACAGTCTGCCAGAGTGCAGAAGAGTGGGGCGAGGGGCCTGCCAGCAAGGGGAGAGTGTGATTCGGGGATTGCGGCTTCAGTAACTTGGGGGAGAGTTCATGTTCTTAGGAGCCACGTGCCTCAATGGTCCCACTGGACTTTCCGGATCAGGCAGACCATGAACACGGCCCTCTGAGGGGCCAGGCCTGCTTTGGGCTCACTAAGACCACAGACAAAGGCCTTATTTTCTATATCCCATGGAGGAGCCACACCTCACACACATATGTGTGCATGTGCAGAGCTCAACAGCCTGCCACACCCTCATGAAGGGCCACATCACATGGGTCAAGTTCTGTCCTATAAGAGTGCCACGTGAAGACGCCTGCGGTTACTGCCAGGATGGACGCCATCTTGGAACGTCGAAGTTAAAGGCCTCCTCCACACCCCCGACCTGGCCCCTCACCACGAGGTGGCAGCTCCCCTCCTCCATCTCCAGACGCCCCACCTTCCTTCAGAGCAGAATGGGCGATGGTGCTCCCACGGGTCAGACCCCATGTGTCCCCGGGGCTCACCTGTCCCACAGGCGGTAGGTGGGGGACGGCGAACATCTCGGTTTCAGAGAGCTTGAGGAGAGATCTTGTGTGGGAGGGGAGCTGGTGGTTTCAGGGAGCGATGGTGAACATGACAGCGGCGGCGGTGGCTGCCTCGAAACCTCCACCGCTTCCTCGGGCACTAGGAGACAAGGATGCCAAGAATCAACAATGTGGAAAGGCTAGGACATGGTCCCCACACCTCTTGGCTTTCTCCTCAGGGCTGGCTCCATGGCTCCTACAGGATCTGCTCTGATTGGAACCAGGCAGCTCAAAGGGACGACCCCCCCCCACCCCCCAACGAGGGGCTGTGCTCGGGATCGGAGGGGACAGGGGCCATGCGGCAAACATTCAAAGGTGTCATCTGCACCCACTACGACAGTTCCTGAGGAGGTTCTGCAAAGCAGTGACCCACTGACCCAGCCTTCTCTGGACTGTCCCAAGGCTCTCCTCGCCCCCCAGATGGTGCCAGCATTGGGGAGAATAGACTTTGGGAAACCAGACGATGAAAGCCAGGCAACGGATGGGGTGCTGGACACAGAGTTCAAATACTCCCTTGGAAACCTCCTAGCTGTGTGACTCTGGGCAGGTCACTTCCCCTCTCAGTTTCCTCATCTGTAAACTGGGTTGTTGTGAGAAGGATCAAATGAGGTATTCTAAGGCCAAGCCCTCTATCCAAGCTGGTGATGTGGCGCCCCACCCATGCGCTGGGAGAGGTGTCAAAGGTCATAGGCACTGCCCTCAGGGGACTCTAGGGGTTCTGGAGGAAGGAGGACACATATTGGAGGATCCATTCTTGCACACACTTCACCTGCAGATTGTGGGATGTGAGGAGAGCAGCCTGGGGGCTGCGGACGGATGGTGGCAGACACTCCCTATATATGTTAAGTCACTGGTAAACTTGAAGAAGGAATACGCCCAGACCCCCCTCATGCTGCCCCCCAATCACTGGGGAATGTGGCCAGCCGCCCCTAGGACCAGCTCTGGGTGGGGCAGCCTGAGAACTCTGTTCTGAATCTGCTGGAGACCAGGGTGGTGTTTCAGTGCTTGTAGAGATTGTAAAGTGCTTCCTTAATACCCGTTCAGCCTGGCCCTAAGTCAAGGATGCCAGCCTGCCTTAACGCACCCTTGGCACACTGGGGCCAAGGAGAGGGGATGTGGTAGGACCCACACTGACTTAAATGCTGGGCCAGCTGCTCTGCCACCCCTTGAGAATGTCCTTCCAAGGGCTGGGGCGGATGTCATCCTCTGCCTCCAAGCGGCCCAGAACACTCAAGAGGGGAGGTCGGGGCTATGAAGGTCCTGCCACTGAGCCTCGACACCATAACTATCTGGTCCCCAGCAGGAGCTAGAGTCGTTTGGGTGCAAATGCTGATAAATCACTAAAAAGAAGCAAACTTCCCAAGAGAACAGAACACGCCCTCACCCACCTGAGTCGAGCTCGCTGCTCTGGGCAAACGTCCCTCTTCGATCCAGCTCCTGCCACTTTCTCACCAAGAAGCGTAGCCTATGGGGAGACAGGGAAAAGCCAGTTGGAAAGCCAGAAAAGAAGAAAAACAAAAGAAGCAAACAGGATGCCCAGAGATCAGGCCTTCACGCCTTCCTCACCTATGAGGCTAAGATGAGATGCAAGCTATGGGCTCCCCCCGGATTGCCAATTTCTCAATCAGCCACTCTAGCCAAGGCCCACCATGGTGGCTCTTTGAAATGTGCTTCAATAATAGACAGAAGAACCAGCTCTGCCTCGTTCTTCCAGGAGCTCTGAGAAGAGCAGGCTTCATAAACAGAACTCTGGGCCTCAGTTTCCTCAATAATAAAATGAGAGGCTGGACTAGGCTACTTTCAAAGGACGCTTCCAACCCTCAATCTCGGGACTATGATTTGTTAATCTAACTCAAAAACCCTGAATCTCAGATTAAATGAACTAGAGAAGGGGCAGCTAGATGGCACAGCAGACAGATCACTGGCCCTGGAGTCAGGAGGACCTGAGTTCAAATCCAGCCTCAGACACATAACCCTGGGCATGTCACTTAACCCCAATTGCCTTTAAAAAAAAATGAACTGGAGAGCTTGAGATTTAAAGGAAAGGCCACAAGAAGCCCTTTATAGAAAACAGCATTTCTGGAGGACATCTAAGCTTTCACATTGGTCCACCTGCCCACCATCTGTTTGAAGTCTGGATTTTCCCTAAACAAGCCTTCAAAAGAAGGGATCTCCGGATCCATTTTCTCTAAAGACTCAGACATGGAGATACCACATGCGTGCGCGTGCGTGTATACACACACACACACACACACACACACACCACACACACCCCCAGCCCAGAACTAACATGGAGCCTGTATCCCACTGAGGACAGAACTGGTTTGAGGCGATATAAAGAAGGCTGTGTGAGGCTAGGCACGACCCTGAGTCACTGGCATTTACCTTAAAATGGCAATGACCACCCTGACCGCCGTCCTGAATTTGGTAAAGGGGCGAGACGAAAAAGCCCGCTTGTCCACCTTGGAGGGAAACACTCCCAAATGTGCAATCATGGAGAGGGTTTCTTGCTCAGAATCCTGAAATCCCCCGATCAGCAGCAGGAGATACCTCTTTTGATAAATCAGGGCCTTGCGGAAGCTCTCTGCTCGTAGGAAATGCAGGTATAACTTTTCCATCTTAAAAGAAAAAGAAGATGAAGATGAGATGAAGTCACTGGCACTTTGTTCAGGCTAATGATCTTCTAGCCCACCATTCTGCTGCCATGCAGGATGTCAGCCAGTATTCTGCCCCATCCCCCTGGGGCCTGGGTCCCGGGTCCCCAAGGTAACTGGCAGCCCCGATGGCATATTCCGGATGCCCCCACGCCATGTCTCCGGAGAAGTTGTGGCAATGACTGCCCAGCTCATCTTTCCACACCCCAAGCCCTAGGGCAGGAGACAGCTCTGCAGGCCCTGACAATGCGCGAGGTCTTCCTCCCACGTGGCTGCTCTGTCCTGCCTTACCCTGATGCGACACGTGTTCCCTCCATGGTTGGTTTCGCTCTTGAAAGCCGCTTTCACCATCCCTGATTCGCTGTGCCTCGTGCCTTGTAAAGCCATTTTCTGTTGTTTCCAGGCAGCTTTGTCAGCTTTCTGGAATGTGCCAATGCGATCCACGTATTTGTACTTCAAACAAATGACAAAAGTTAAGGTGGCCTGTTCTTGGCCACTGGGGACACAAGAGCCACATCAGGGAGAGGACCCTCCTGGATGACAGGCCCGAAGGCTGAGGACCCACCCCGAGGGATAAAGCTGCTGCCTCTGATGGAGGTGTGGGTCCCACCAAGTCTTTTAGAAAGAAGCCCAGGGGGCAGCTAGGTGGCGCAGTGGATAAAACACCAGCCCTGGATTCAGGAGGACCTGAGTTCAAATCTGGCCTCAGACACATAATGCTTACTAGCTGTGTGACCCTGGGCAAGTCACTTAACCCCACTGCCTCAAAACAAAAACAAACAAAAAAAAAAAAAGAAAAGAAAAGAAAGAAAGCCCAATTTGTGACTCCCTGTACTGGTCCTAAGTGACCCTGGGTGAATCCTACTTCCCAGGAAGCCAAGAGGGTCACAACCCAGGGCATCAGTGGGTAAAGAACAAACACCAAACGTCTATAAAACAACACCTGCTACAAAGGTGGCTCTGGGGTCTCCTCTCAAACAGGCCCCTACTCTCTCTCTGGAGCTCCTTTTCAACTGGTCAGCTGCTAAATTACATGTGTGGCCAAAGCAGAGAAAAGTGACCTGACCTACCCCACTGTTGTGCAGAGGCTGCCTGGGGAATTTGCTGTGAAAAGCAGCTAGGGCCACTTTGCCACCCAGACCCAACAAAACCAGGAATGAGCTAGGACCAGTCCCCAAAGAGCACAGCAGCAACCTTGGCTGCGGGGGCACAGAGCAGGCTGGCCAGGTCCCTGAGGCCTGAGGATGTCTGAGCTGCCTCTGGTCGGACATTCCTTGCAAATGAAATCAGTGGGGGCAGGCACAGGGTGCCCGGCCCACCACGGGCAGGCCCTCTTCTCTCCCAGTAGGGGACTGCAAGGCCCTCCTCTATTTCTGCAGCCACCCTGGACCTGGCTTTGCTTCTCCACAGGTGCCAAAGCGGGGTGCCTCACTGGGTAGCAGGAACAGGGTGAAGAACTTTGGCCCTGCCTAGGTTCTCTTCCTGCTTCCTCACTTTATGCACTGCCCAGCAATGATCTTTCTCTGCAGATCTCCTGTGGCTAATGGCAGTGGCTCTCCCGTGATGAAAGCCGCCTGCTAGACCAGCCGATGGCCATCCCCTCCACCCGCCCAAGGCCCACGGCTGGGAATTGTAGCCGAGGCACCTCCACTTGCCACTTGCCCCCCCGGCCCCACCCAGGGGAACACAAGTGAAGCAGGAGCCAGACGTACGATGTGCCCGCAGCCCTTCTGCAGATGGTGCTTGAGCGTCTTCTCCAGCTTGGAGACAGTTTTGCACAACTCCACCTTCTCCTGGGTCATGGTGCTCAGGGCTTTGGTGAGGGAGCCGTTTTCCTTCAGCAACACGTCAATGAGACTGATCTGGGCCTGGGCATTTTTTTTCTGGGAAAGACCAGGGAACGAGAATGACTATTTGTGGTTGAGAATGACGCAGCAAGGCCAAGTCCTCCTCCCCAGGGGACCTCCCGGGGCAGTAACAGCCAGATGATGGGAGGGATGCCAAGAATAGGAGGGTAAAGGCGGGTGGGAGCTGGGGCACAGCCAGTGTGATGACGACCGAGCAAATGAACCGAGGCCACGGCTCCCACTCCCGCCTCCGAGCCCTGGGGGACTTGGCACAATTCACACTGCCCATCCTAGGGGCTTTTCTCTCCACCTTTACTCTTCTTTCAAAGAAGACTTTAGCTTCCATGGCCTCTCAAGTCCCTTCCAGCCCCAGCACTGGGGGCTTGGGATGCCACGGTGAGACACCAGGAATGGTGCTGCAGAAGGGACTTCTGACCTCTGACTTCTTTCCTCCCCTTCCTCTCCCGGTGGCGAAGGGTGGGGGAAGGGAGAGACGGCTGAAGACAAAACCTGGCCACACTGACAAACGCACTGGTCACGGTCACTCAAGTGGGTATTCCTGCTTGTTATTCTCTGCCAAAAGGGAAGGCATCAGGCTTGGCCTGGAAGGCAGGACTAGGGGTGGGGTGGCAGGTGTTTTCTTCCAGAAAAGATAGTAAAAATGAAAAATTACATTGATAAGATGTATTTGTTAAAAATACAAAGTATCAGGTTTTTTCTCACTCACTGTCATGGACACTCATGAATTTCTCTTAAGTCTAGGCTGGGAGAAAAGCCCACGTTTGTAAGAGGCAAGAGAATAGTGCAAGGTGTCCAATTTGGTGACTGGCCTTCCCTCCCACGGCGTAGAATTCCCTTTCCCCTAGTTCTAGAGCTCCTGAGAGCCAGCAAGGCTGCTCCTGGGGCTGATGGGGGGCAGCCTCCACAGCGAGCAATGGGCAGACCACAGCTCACTAGCAGGAGCACGTTTTCAGCCTCCTGGGCTAGCTCTGGGGGCTGTGCTTGGGCAGAAGAGGACAGGAATTCAAACGTGTGCCCTCCCAGTCTTTGCCCACCGCTCCCCGAACTGAACCGCCTCCCACCACCTGCCCCAAGACGGAAGCTCCCGCTGAGGAGAGAGAGGGGCGCAGGGACCTACATTAAGGGTGCCGGTTTTGTGTTTCTGCCCCAACCACGTGACTACCGGCGGTGGTCCCACGGCAGCCACGTCTTCCTCCTACAAGAGAAGGGAAGGTAAAGAGGCCGAGGAGCACCTCTCTACTCTCTGTGAGTCATGGGCAATGCAACAGTCCCAAAACTAGGGCAAAAGGCTCTGGGACAAAACCAAGAAGGAAACAGACAATCTTCCCCAGGCTCGGGGCTTGCAAGCTGGTCAAGTTTGCCACATGCCACACGCGGAAGGAAGGGAAGAAGAACCCTGAGCACTTACCCCCTTCCAGGAGAGGAAGGTGGGAGGAAAAGGGAACGCCGTGCTGGAAATTATTACATTGAAAGCCTCAAAGATAAATGTGAATTGGTCCAGGCCCCAAAAGAATTCCTGGAAGACCTCAAAAAGGATTTTTAAAAATCAGAGAATTAGATGAAAAATTGGGAAAAGAAATGAGAGTGATACAAGAAAATCACAAAAAAAAGAGTTGACAGCTTGGTAAAGGAGACACAAAAAAATATTGAAGAAAATAACACCTTAAAAAACAGAATAGGCCAAATGGTAACAGAGGTACAACAATCTGCTTAAGAGAATGCCTTAAAAAGCAGAATTGGGCAAATGGAAAAGGAGGTCCAAAAGCTCACTGAAGAAAATAATTCTTTAAAAATTAGAATTGGGCAAGTGGAAGCTAATGACTTGATGAGAAATCAAGAAGCAATAAAAGAAAGTCAAAAGAATAATTTAAAAAAAAAGAAAGAAGAAAACGTAAACTATCTTATTGGAAAAACAAATGACCTGGAAAATAGATCCAGGAGAGAGAATTTAAGAATTACTGAAAGCCATGATCAAAAAAAGAACCTAGACATCATCTTTCAAGAAATTATTAAAGAAAACTTCCCTGATATTCTAGAACCAGAGGGTAAAATAAAAATTGAAAGGATCCAGTGATCACCTTCTGAAAGAGATCCCAAAATGAAAACTTCCAGGAATATTATAAACAAATTTCAGAGTTCCCAGGTCATGGAAAAAAACTATTATAAGCTGCCAGAAAGAAACGATTCAAATATGGTGCAGCCAGTCAGGATAACACAAGATTTAGCAGTTTCTACATTAAAGAATCAGAGGGCTTGGAATATGATATTCCAGAAGGCAAAAGGGTTAGGATTACAACCAAGAATCACCTACCCAGCAAACTGAGCATGATCTTTAAGGGGGAAAAAATGGATATTTAATGAAATATAGGACTTTTAAGCATCCCTGATGAAAAGACCTGCTGAATAGAAAATCTGACTTTCAAATACAAGACTAAAGAAAAGCATAAAAAGGTAAACAGGAAAGTGAAATCATAAGGGAATCATTAAAGTTAAATTGTTTACATTTCTACATGGGACAGTGATACTTGTAACTCCTAAGAACTTTATCATTTTTAAGGCAGTTTGACGGCATATACATAGACAGAGGGCAGGCAAGGATATGAGCTGAATATGATGAGATGATATCTAAAAAAATTAAATTAAGGGGTGAGAAAGAGGAATGCACTTGAAGAAGGGAAAAGGGGGAAAACAGAATGGGGTAAATTATTTTACATAAAAGAGGCATGAAAGAGCTTTTATAGTAGAGAAGTTGGAGGACATGGTTGGGGGGGGAAGGATATGAACCTTATTCTATTCTCATCAGAATTGGCTCAAAGAGGGAATAACACACACACTCAGGTGGGTAGAGAAATCTATCTTTATCCTACAAGTAAGTAGGAGGGGAAGAAGATAGAAGAAGGGGAGGGCAGGGGAGAGGGAGGGGTGTGCAGCACTGATAGAAGGGAAAGGGACTTAGGGGAGGCAGAAGTCAGAAGCAAAACACTTTTGAGGATGGACAGTATGAAAGGAGAAAAAGTAGGATAAATGGGAAAATCAGGATAGAGGAAAATATAGTTAGTAATCATAACTGAAAAAAGTTTACAGCAAATTTCTCTGATAAAGGCTTTATTTCTCAAATACATAAAGAACTGAGTCAAATTTATAAGAATATAAGTCATTCCCCAACTGATAAATGGTCAAACACAGTTCTCAGACCAAGTAATCAAAGCTATCTATAATCATATGAAAAAGTGCTCTAAATCACTACTGATTAGAGAAATGCAAACTAAAACAACTTTGAATTGCCACACCATACCTATTAGATTGGCTAATATGAAAGAAAAGGAAAATGGGCAATGTTGGAGGGGATGTAGGAAAACTGAGACACTAATGCACTCTTGGTGGAGTTGTGAACTGATTCAACCATTTTGGAGAGCAATTTAGAACTATGTCCAAAGAGCTTTCATATAAAACCAGTATATCCCCTGATCCAGCAATACCACTCCTAGGTCTGTATCCCAAAGAAATAAAAAACAAAAAGGAAAAGGACCTATATGGACAAAAATATTGACGGCAGCTCTTTTTGTGGTGGCAAAGTATTGGAAATTGAAGGGATGCCCATCAATTGGTAAATGGCTAAACATTTTGGTATATGATTGTAATGGAATACTGCTGTGCTATAAAAAATGGTGAGCAGGATGCTTTCAGAAAAACTTGGGAAGGCTTACCTGAACTGATACAAAGTGAAATGAGCAAAACACAGGAGTACTTTGTACACAGTAACAGCAATACTGCATGATGATCAATGGTGAAGACTTTGCTATGCTCAGCGATACAATAAACTGATGCTACCTGAATGCAGAGCAAAGCATACTTTTTTAAACTTTATTTTTCTTTTTGGGCAGAGGGGGTCTGTGTTTTCTTTCACAACAGACTAATTTGAAAATATGATTTGCACGTGTTTATTCTAAGTTAAACTGCTTCCCTTCTCAATGAGGGGGCCAGGGAAGGAGGGAGGAAGAGAATTTGGAACTCAAAGTATTAGAAAATGAATGTTAAAAATTGTTTTCACATGTAATTGAGAAAAAATAAAATATTAAAAATTTTAAAATGCCTTGGCTTACTTCATAATGATGACAATTCCATTCTTTACAAAGTGCAAGAAGCAACAGGAAAAAGTCTGTCTGAACTTGATTCTCTTCAACAGGAAGGAACTTGTTGATGGGATGGAAACAATGGGAGACATTGTGAGGAAGGACCACAAACACCACGAGTTTGTGTTAAAGGAGAGGAAGGCCAGGCAGGGCGTGATAAAGGAGGGCAGGTTTCTAAAGATTCAAAGCAAAGTGAGATAGAATATCTCACCGTACGGTCTAAAAGTCTATAGGGGGCATCCGAGCAGAACGAATGGAAAATCCTTAAGGATGAAGTTCTGATACCATCTTCTTCAACAATTAGAAGAGGCAGAGCTAGATGAAGCTAAGATTCCTCAACCAATATGGTTTTTAAAAAGATGGTCAGAGAGGATTCCGGGAAGATGATGATACTGAAAAATTCAAAGCTCTTAAGATTTTCCCCACGAAAGAGATGAAATAGTGCCTCAAGGTGTATATTGAGCAATAAAAATAAATTAAAGTAGGGGCAGAACAGGGCTCCTTGTGGGACAATCAGAGAAGATCTGAAGAAAAACCCCAGGATCAGGTTTGGTCCCAGGAAACCCCAGGGCTGGGAGGCTGCCTCAGCCCCATCACCCCTGGGACAGTGAAGGGAGGTGGGCGTCTGGGCCAGGAAGATCAAGGGAACCTCTGCTAACAAGGAATGCCAGACCTAGCTGTGGGAGAATGAACCAGCACATGTGCAGTGAGTGCAGAAGCAGCAGGGCTGCGATGCCGCTGGTTGGGGGCATCTACGGGAGGCTGGAGGTCTTGGTTTCGGTTCAGGCCAGAGGGGAGAACTGAGGCCAGAGGCACCATCCCCCATAACCCAGGGCTAGAAGTGATTATAAAAAATAAGCTGCTACAAATGAAAAAAAAAATGAGCAGGCAAAGGAGAAAGAATCCAGCCATAGAGGGTTATTTGCTATAGGAATGAGAAGACTGGGGTTTGTCTTCAGAGGAGGATACTGAAGCAAAGATACACTCTTCTACCCCAAAGAGTAATGTCAAATGGTCACCTGCTGAAAAAGAATGTATAGAAGAACTTTAAAAAGCCTTTAAAAATCAAATGAGATTGAGAAAAAACTAAAAAACAAACAAAAAAACCAAACCAAGAAAAACTAGGAGATTATGAAAAGAAAGTCAACCAATTAGAAAAGAAGATCCAGAATCTTAAGTAAGAAAATGACTCCTTGAAAATCAGAATTGGGCAAGGGGAAGCCAGCAAAGTCATAAAAGACCAAGAAATAATAAAACAAAATATAAAGAATGAAAAAATAAAAGAATATATGAAACATCTCATAAGAAAAACAACTGACGTGGAGAACAGATCAAGAAGAGAAAATTAAACGAATAATTGGACTACATGAAAGCTATGATCAAAAAAAAAATCTTGATACAACAATACAATAAATAATTATTAAAGAAAATTGTCCTAAAGCATTAGAACAAGAGGGGAAAGTAGAAATAGAAAAAAAAATCCACCCATCACCACCTGAAAGGGATCCCATGAGGAAAACCCACAGGGATATCATAGTCAAATTCTGAAACCCCAAGCTCTAGGATAAAACATCACAAGCAACAAGAAAAAACAGTTTAAAGACAGCGGCGCCACAGTTAGCATCACACAAGACCTAGCAGTGGCGACACTGAAAGAACACGTGTCTCGGAACACCACATATCGAAGAGCAAAAGAACTAGGGCTCCCGCCAAAAATACCATACCCAACAAAGCCAAGCATAGTCTAGAAGGGAAAAAAATGGGTATTTAACGAATTGTCTGATTTTCAGGACTTTGTTTAAAAAAACAAACAAAACACCTGAACTTAATGGAAGATTTGACATACAAAGGCCAAGAGAAATATAAGGTACATACCAAAGACTTAACTACAAGGGACTCCATCAGGACAGACTGCTTCCCTTTTATGTATGTAAAAAGGAAAACAGATGTCTGAGATTGTTATTAGTAATTAGGTGGTTCACAAGAAACACTGGGGTAGGCCTGCGTATGATATGACTTGAAAAAGTAAAATGGTTTAGAAACAGCAAAAAAGAGTAATTAT